TAGAAAGGATTCTACTCTAAGGTAAGCTCAAACAAGAGGCATGTGCACCCAATTGGGCAACATTTCATTACTTAAATTCAAGCTGAAAATTACATGAGTGAAGGTCTTTATTTACAAGTCAAGCTAACCCTAGAGTGGTCTCCAAAAGGAGAGCCAAATTTGAATCCAAACTCTAGAAAAATGAAGCCAAAATAAAGCATGATTCTAGGGTGACTTACTACCTAAGCAAGTCGCACTTTCCACACCATGTAGCGCACAAGGAAGAGACTCACAAGGCAAGTGTGTGAAATAATCAAGAAAAACACTAAATGAGGGTGAATGGTGTTTTTCAAAATCTTTTCGCAAAGCAGCAACTAATGACTTGTAAAGATAATTTATATGAATTGTAAAATGGTTAGACACTAGTTTTTAATGAGATAAATGGAAACCGTTTTGGATAGGAAGATAGTAAACCATTGATTTATATACTAGTTCACTCAACCTGAGCTACGTCTAGTTCTCCCTTAAGAACTCTTAAGGGGTTCGACTAATCTTTTCTAATATTACACGTTTTTTTCCTCTCCAGGATCTCACTGAGTATTCTCACCACTCTTGGTTACAATGATTATTAGCACCACTCATGGCTTCGTAGTCAACACGACTAAACCAAGATTAGCCTCTCCAAGATTTACCCTAGACAATTGTCTAGATGTTTAACTCAACTTGAGTTGAATAAACAAGTATTTGTGTTCTCTTCAAAACCTACAATAAATCTACAAATGGATTTTCTACAAGGTATAGAGGATTGACTCTCAACGAGAGGATATGTTTTTTAATACAAAACAAGTTGTGACGCTTGAAAGTGTTCCTCTCTTTTATAAAGATTCATCTCTCAAGAAATATTGAGCTTCACAAAATATAAAAACACTTTAAGTTTTTCTCTCTTTTCACATAATTATTCTTCTTATGTTATCTTTCTTATGTTTTTCATCAACCACATCTTCTCTTCAAGCTTTCTTTTATATATATATATATATATATATATATATATATATATATATATATATATATATATAGCATCTCTTGAAAGATGATCTAGACAAAGAAGTTTTCTTCTGAACAACTGTAGTCTTTAGATGTGAAGTCTGACTTTAGTATACTTTGTAAGGTCCAAAGCTCTTTCTTATAGCCTTAAGTGAAACTTGAGCTTGTATGATGTGACAGAGCATATGAGTTCAATGGAAACATTTCTAGAATTTTCTTCTTCTCTCACAAGGTCTTTTTCTTGGATGTCGTGATTTTGATCATATCTTTTTACTTTATTGATCTCCACAGATATCAAGAAACAAAGTATACAAGTATCAAGGTACTTTTTCGTGCATTCATTAAATGTTTTGAACGCTGATAAACGTTAAGTAGTGTAGCATGTTCAAGACATTTTATCATTTGTCATTTCATTCATAAATGCATAGTTTGATAAGATAAATAACATGTATATTCATCAGCTAGTATACATATGAGATGTGTTTTCAAAGGCTAAAGCGTTTAGACCTTCTTCATCAGACAATGTTTTCTCTAGAAAGCTTTACTTGATATAACAATGTATTAAATAAAGATTTCTTTTTATCCTTCGTGTTATATAAAAGATAGAGTTTTTTTTAATAAGAAACTAGCTTATTTTTCTCATACCATTGAGACATTTCAGTGAGAGACAATTTTTTTCAGACGTTGACTTTCTAACTTTTAAAACAGTTTGGTTTAAAAAAATTACTTATATTCTTGACTTCAAACGTTGTAAAATGTTTCTTCATTAGACGCTACTATTTTAAACAAATTTTTACATACAACAATATCTTGTTTAATGCTTTTTGTTGAATTTCAAAACATGGGTTGCTTAGGCAGTACTTTTTCTAGACGATTTTGTCTTGATAGTGTGCACTCCTCTAGGTTTAAGAAACCCTAATTTTAGGCACCTCTCCTCAAGACCCAATCCAAGACCCATCTCCTTTTAGGTTCAAACTACTCTATAATGTCCAAGCCCAAAATGGCCCAAATAAAATCCTATAATACTTGGCCCATTATATAAGACCTAAAAGTATCCTATTCTAATATTTACAAATAAAGTTGGCTCAAAAGGCAAGAGCATGGGCCTACTCAGTAAAGACTAGACCAACTCTTCTTGTACTTGGTGATTTTACTTTTAACCAAGAGAAGGATTTTTGGAAAATGGTTATATTTCCAAATGTTTTGGAATTTAAAACAATTTGTGAATTTGTTTTCAAGATTGGGGTTTTACGTTGTTTTGTTAGTTTACCCTTGCATTGGTGTTTTTCACTTACGATGATTGTATTTTATATGAGAGTAGATGATCATATTAGTGTTGCAGAAGATACATAATAATGAAGAATGAGAGTTGGACAAGATTTGTTGTTTGGGATAGTCTTAGAGATTTTATTGTTATTTTTTTCAACTTTGTCAAGCTAATAAAGTATTATGATGTAAGACGAGAATTTTCTTTATTATTTGGAATTTAAAAAAAGTGGTGACAATGTTATTATTAAGTAACTGTTTGAGATGAGATTATTCGTGTAGTTATATGCCTAAGAAAGCAAGAAAAAAATGGTGTTACAATGTTCTATTGTAGACTGACCTATTCCATGTTAAACTATGAAATAATTTCAGTTGTTCTCATTGTTCTATTGTGTATTATTTTCTCATATTGAGAAACAAAAGATGAAGCCAAGCCCGTTTAGAGATGGCTTTTCATGGACACATTCCCCTACAACAAGGGAATTGTTTGTCACAATGGCACCACAAGGGTGGTATCTAAACTAAGTATTTTCTTCTTTCATTTGAAATATGTAAACTGAATTGCACATGAGTGGAGAAAGTAAGATTGGTAGAGTTCATAGGAGTCAAGATTGGAGAAAGTAATATTGGTAGAGTCCCCATGAAATTTTATACAATGAAAACTCCTAATAATGAAAAGATTGGACATCTTAAATCCAATAAAAATGACATATCAAGTTCAAAATGTGTGTAATTGATTAAATATTTTCTTTTTTATCTAAATAAATGCAATAGTTTGACTCTTCTTGAGCTCTAATGAGCTCAATAACGTCTTCTTTCAATAAAGTTTGAAAAGAGTAACTTATAATTTAAATATTTTAATCTTTAGAAGATTACCAACCACTAAAGATTAAAAGATTTAAACTAAATTATAGATTTCAAACTCTTTCGTACGAAGGTGTTAGTGAGCTTATTAGAGCTCAACAATAGTCAAACTACTACATTTATTTGGAAAACAAAAGAAAATATTTAATTAAGTAAACACTATAAACTTGAAATATCGTTCTTATTGGATTTAAGATGTTAAAATGTCAAATCTTTTTATTATTAGAAGTTTTCATTGTATAATATTATTGGTTCAATAATTTATAATGTTTCCTTTTATTTGGTGGTGTTTATTATATTGGTAAGTTTTCTTTTAGGAGAAAAGAATAAATAACTCTATACATTTATATAATACAATTATCGATAAATTAATTAATTGGTGATTAGACCACTATTGTCACATATAATTATCGAAAGATTTGTTATATTCGTCAATAACTTTTATAGATAAATTAATTATACCAACTAATATTATACGTCAGTATTCATAAAATAAACTTATTGATATATTTTATTTCTTACCAATAAATACTAACCATCAATAATCCTGACTTTTTTTAGTGACAGTTCAATCCAATCAACAACAAAACAACCAATTATATAATATGCTTTCTTTTTTAACATTTCTCACCCGCTTGATATAGATGAAAAAGGAGTGTAAATCCTACAAATTGATATATCTTTCTTCACAAATTGTTGGAAACAAACCATTGACCAACCTTAGAAATATGTTTCTTCCCTTCCTCACAAACCATAAATAATAAATAGAGAGAAATACAATGTAAATCATCATTCCACCATTTTTTTATGGTGTATATACTGCCTAGATAAACATACAAAGATAGCATGTTACAAGGTCTCATTTGTGCATCTAAATACCAAATTTTATACTCTTCCTTCTTTTTTTCTAAATTTGGATAATTTCACTATAGTCTAAGAATCTATAAATAATAATGACAATCTAAATATTGTCTTTGTTTTAATAATCAATACACATAGGATACATGTGAAAAATTATTTTGCATAGTTCACATTTCATTTTATGTGGTTATTTTTGTCATGTTTTCTCGTAATGAACAAATATAAGACGAACACATAATAATCATATATAGAGCATGTTATTTGTAATTTATTTTTTCCAAAATGAAATTCTCCTCAAACAATGTAAATGAATATAACACAAATTAATAGAAAGCAAAATCATAAATGGTAAGAGAGTCATAAAAGTAAAACCTTTCATGGTCGTATAAGTCTCGCGATTGATCATTCTCCATTTGTTTAAAAGTGTATAAGTGATCACGAAAATAAAATGTGAATATAAAAACTTATATTGAAATAAGATGTAAAATCTAATATTGTTTTTACTATGATAGTAGAAATATTTTTCCTTTTCAAAATTTCTTTCTAATCTTATTGCATAATTTAAAAAAAGCATGTAAAGGTAAACTTCAAATGTTTTATGTAAAATTAATAAATGGAGTACACCTTAGAAGAAAGAAGATAAATAAAATAAAAATGATCAAAAGAAAATATATTATAAAAAATAAATCTTGTTTTAATAATACAATAAAACCCCTCATATTCTTTTTTATAAATAATTTTTCTTATCATTTCAATAATTGAAAGTGAAAAAATAAATTGTCAATAACATGAAACAAATCTTCAACATTAAATAATAAAAAAATTAATTATCTATAACATGTAATATCATACTGTTATGAATTTTATTTTAAATGAACCATGTTTGGTGTGGAGTCTCAGATAAAATGAAAAATAAAAAGTATATTAAATGTTACATTTTGTATAATTTAATGCCACTTACTATATATATAAAATAAGCAACAATGGAAGATTGTATTTGAACATGGAGGGTCAAAATTGTGAGGAAGTTGATTTTGGAAAGAAATTTAAGAAGAGGAACAAGAATACCAATGTTGGATTGTAATGGAAAAGAATCTCTGAAATGGTCCAAATGACCACACATAACACCTCGATTTGTCCGCCACCACTTCCTCCATCACCGCCATCCTCCCTCCTCCTCCTCCTCCTTCCAACACCGCAACAACGCCCTCGATCACATCATCACAACCTTCTTTCTTCATCCTTCTCTTCCATTTGGGGCCACTTCTGATCGATTCCTTCCGCCTCCTCCCGCCTCAGATGCAGACTCTCCCTCCCTTCTCTTGCATCAGAGGTTCCTTCTGCTGCCCATGGATTTCCCTCCTGCCCTCAATCTTCTCACCCAATTCGGATGCGGCTTCGTCCTTCTCCGCTCCCTCTCGCTCGTTTTCAACTTTTTAGGCCTCCTTTTGATGCTCTCCTTTTGGTTCAAGGTTTGGCGCTTCAGTTGGAATTCCAAGAGCGCCATTCGATTCCTTTGCACTTCCGGAGGCGTACCACAAATCCGTTTCTGCCTCGACAAAGTTGCGTGGGGAGTTTCTAAGGCAAAGACCGCGCCTTTGAGAAAAGCGCGCCCTTCCAGGTCGAGTTCCTCCATCAGGAGGCGCACCAATGGCTCCCGAGAGAGAGGCAATGCGGGTTCCGAAGATGGGTCGGAGGGGAAGGGTGAAAACGAGAAGGACATTGGCAATGAGGATGAGGTGCTCGACGTAATGACGCTGAAAAATTTCGTCAAGATGGAGAGACTAAAGGCCAATGCGGCGTGTGCGGACCTCGAGAAGGAGAGGACGGCGGCTGCCTCGTCGGCGGAGGAGGCAATGGCGATGATTCTGCGGCTGCAGAATGAGAAGAGCGCGGTAGAGATTCAAGCCACGCAGTTCCGGCGAATGGCGGAGCAAAAGCTAGATTATGACCAGGAAGTTATTGAGTCATTGCAGTGGACCATCACGCAACACGAGGTTCAGAAGTGTGAATTGGAGGATCAGATGGAGATTTGTAAGGAGGAATTGAGGCAGTTTATGAGGGATGAGGATATAGAACAACTTGAAGTTGAAGTGAGTAGGGATTACATGTATGATGATGAGGAGGAGGATGGTGATCGTTATGATAATTCTGTAGTTAGCTCTCCCGAAACTGAATCACAGACCTTGTAAGTTCTGAAGCTTGTTTGTTGTTATATACAAATGAAGTCCCTTTACATAGACCTGTTTTGGTTTCCAATTGTAAATTGTATTTAACCATAATTTAATTAATAATAATATCGAAAGCCTATATATATTTTTTATTTTTTTCTCATGAATTATGCTCAAATTTTAGGTTCATTATTATAAGTGTGAATAAATTCAATACGGAGTATACAATGTTTGCCAGGATTGAAGCTTGTAGGATGCTAGTTATCTATGTATGCACTGGAGTAGAAATGATGGATTACAATCTTAACTTTCGAGTTTATTCTTGTAACTTTGTTGAGAATTGGATTGAAGTACTTGCGTGCAAGAATTTGTTCTGATGCTGTTGACAATAATGTATCTAAGCCACATAATCTGAAAGTTTAGATTTACTTAAGAATGTTTTAGTCATTCTTTTTTTTTTGCACAAATCAATGAAAGAAACTATACAAAAGCATAAAAGATAGAAGAATTAGTAACTTAAAAGGACAATTCTCTTTATAGTGTAAATGCTATAATATAGTTTTGGAAGAGTTGTTACAAATATAATAAAGGATAAATAGTTGGTTCAATATTGACACATTTTATTTTTAGCACAATAGAAAAACATTTCAACTGTAGTTCAAAAACTTTAATTTATTAATTGAATTTAAACTTGGTTTATACTTATGATAATTGAATACACTTTAACATTTAGTAATGGTCATGTATGTTTATTAAAAAAATAATGTTGATATACAATTAATCTCGAAAGAACCACTAAAAATTTTAAATTTAAAAAGTAAAAGTAAAAGATAAAGAACTTGATAATTTTTCCTTAATAAACAAATGTAAGAATTGTTAAAGACAAAATATATGTTCAATTATATTAATAATTAACGAAGTTTAAATAAAAATAATACAACTAAAACTATTGAATGAATACTATAACTTTTTTATTATATAAAAAATAAAATATATCAATATTTATTATATTAAATATTATAATATTAATAATATTTTTTAAATATTTATTATTAATGATGTCAAACAAAAAGTTTAAAGTTATTAATGTGTTTAACTAATGTTATTAATAACTGATATTATTAATATTTAATTATGATGAAATTATATTCCATAACATATAGACATGAATAAGTATAATGTTATTTTTCATATAAAATCACAAATTCCTTAGGTAGTGGTATATTATTCTCAAAATGTTATGTATATTATTCTCAAAATGTTACGTGTTACTTTTTTATAATAGAATTATTTTTTATTTGTATTTAGATATTTTTGGAGTCATATGAATGAAAATGTCTATACAGAAAGTATAACATTATGACAAACATTATTTTTTATACTGGATAGTTTTTATTTTTAACGTATATTTTTTATTTTTAACGTTAAGTGGTAGTCTGACATGGTGATGAAGATTTATGTGAACAAAATATCCTATATAAATTTACATAGGACTTGACGAGGATTGATGAAAATTTTTGCATTTTCTTTTAAAATTTAATTGGTTTTGGCTTAAACCAAAACCTAAAATACAGAAGAAGAAAACCAATGTTAATTTATATACAATGAACCATATTGTTAATTTAAGAATCATAATCTAAGATAAAAAAAAATTTGAAATATGAGAAACTAAACGATAAATTATAGCACAAAATTAACGAAGATATCTATTGCGATTATGATCTCTAAAAACAATCATTATTCAATTTCAATAGTATAGTAGGGATATCATCATCCACTTCAATGATGTATTTAAACCAACAAAACTTCAAATGCAAATGGAGAAAAACAACCATTACCATAAAACACCAAAAACCATCAATTCATATCACAATATGGACCTACAAACATCCATGCAACATTACTATCATCATCGTTGCCACCTCAAAGAAAGAAACAAAGGGAAGGGGAAAAAGTCGTGAATAAGAAGTTGGAAGCTTTAATTTAAACCCTTTTATTTTGTTGGATTGTCAAATAGTCTAATGTAAAACTTAATATTTATGTCGAACTGTCATTTATTTCAACTTAAATGTAAAAAAAAAATTATGTCAAATTGTTAGTTATCTAAAGTAAAACTCAACATTTATGTTGGATGGTCGGTTAGTCTAATGTAAATGTCAAAACAATTTTACATCAAATTATTAAGGATCTGACGTAAAACTCAACATTTATGTCAAACTTCATCATAAGGAATCTTCAAGTGGTACAAATTTGAGGACAAATTCTTTTCAAGAAGGAGAGTATGATAAAAGACTATATCTTGGACATATATGAGAAGAACTTTAGGAAGAATATTTACAATTCAAATGATCTATGACAAAACCCAAGGTCAAAACACATCTCCTTGAATCTTATAATATTCTATGAATGAGGAAACTTAAAAAACATGCAGATCATGAGTAGAAGAATAATTTAGAAAATTAAATAAATTGTAGTTTTATTTTAAGTTTACAAAGTTTGTGCCTATTATATTCTATTAGTTATTAATTGTTTACCTTGATCTTGCATGCGTTTTAGTGTTTGGAGAGCAATCTTTTTAGTTTCTTTGTTTATGTGTGAACTGCAAAATTGAAGAAAAAAGAATAAGAAAGAATAGTTGATTCAACTCAAAAGAAAGCAAATATATATTGAAAGAAAAGAAAAAAAAGAGAAAGTGAGGATCCAAGAGTTAAAAAAATTGTAGAATTCAACACAATTATATATTATGTTGCACTATTGTTTATGATTGTTAATCTATTGAATTATATTTAGTCTTTTTTAGTGTTCCTGTTGTCTCATTTAACTCTTTTTGTAATCCTATTGTTTTTTTTATTGTTTTATGTCGTTTAAAATTCTTTGAAGTATTCTCTATAGTTTTGTATTTTATTTGATCTTTTGAGTCAAGATTTAGATGTAACAATATTTTTCACATTGTTTGTTCGCTCTTCAGGTAAGCTACTAGAGTTTTTGGTCAAACACTAAAGGGAATTTGAATAGTAAAAAGATAAGAGTGTACATTCAAGAAAAAGTTTATAAGTTGATACACAAGTGAAATTTGAGTGAAACACTTAAACAAGTGGTGATGATCTAAATATATTCAGCTATTTTGTTTTACTAACCTTTTGCAAGATTTATCAATATTGAACAATGCAACATGTTCTAGTAGAGAATGTTAATGTCTTGGAGTCCAAAATTGTAAAGCTAAATGGAAAATTTTCTAGTATTGAAGCACAAACATGACAAAAATGTTTTCCTAGGGGTTAAATCAAGTGCTATAAGATGTTCCAAATGTGAAGGCTATGGACATGAAACTCATCAATGTCCTAATTGAAATGCAAGTCCCATGACTAATAAAGACCTCAAGAACTACATTTTATATTTGAAAGAGGAATTGCAAAAATTAGATGCGATGAAAAGAAGACAAGTGTAGAAGCTTGAAAGAGCATAAGAGAAAAAAAACACTTATAGAAACAAAAGAAAATGAAAGTAAAGGAAAAGAAGAAAAGAAAAGAGAGAAGGCGCAGAGAAAGAGATAATAGAGAAAAAGAAGAAAACAGAGAGTGAAAGCGAAGAAAGAAAATAGAGAAAGAGAGGAGAAAGAAAAGAAGAGAAAAGATAAAGACGAAAAAAGAGAAAAGATACAAAAAAAAGAGAGTATCCATATTTGTAAATAAAAGAAAATACTAACTGGTCTTTTTTTTTGTTTTCTTGCTTAGGGAAGATTTGTTTATCAAGGAACCATGACATGAACAATGGAAGGAAGACATGATGAGAGAAAAGGAAAACACAAGCTTATAACTCAAAGAACCACCTTTGTTTGATAATTTATTAGCTTGTTTGTCAATTCATTTAGATATTCAAAGTTATTTTTTTAGTATGGAAACAAGCTTAGAAATATATGAACATGAGTTAGCTTGTTTAACCATCTCTAAGAAACTTATGGAATTAAAGTGATACTTATAGTTTGATTGTTTACTTGGGAAATACTTTTTTGACTTTTTTTTAGCATTGCATCTTTAATTTAAAATTGTTTGATGATTTTTGTAGGTGGGTGTTTGACCTTGAAAGTAGACCTCAAACCTTTGATAATAAAATATTGACCTTTTCTAAGATTCAAATCTCATTTTAGTAGAATTTTTATTTTTTATTATTTTAGATTTGTGTATTTGATTTATGTTTGTGTTTATGGATAAGATCTTTTAGAATTTGGGTTGAAATTTCTCCAAATAGGGAAGAATGATAATGAATCTTCAAGTTGTGTGAATTTAAGGACAAATTCTCTTGAAAAGGAGAGTATGATATAAGTCTATCTCCTTAACATATATGAGAAGAACTTGAGAAAAAACATTTACAATTCAAAGTTTCTATGATAATGTCAAAGATCAAAACACATCTCCTTCAATCTTATAATATTCCATGAAGGAGGGAACTTAAAGAATATGAATGTCATGAGTACAATCGAAAAATAATTTAGAAAATTAAATAAATTGTAATTTTATTTTAATTTTACAAAAAGTTAAATTTGCTAGGCAAGACGGTTTGTATTAGCAGGGAGAGCGAGCCATGATAAGTGAAAGTTTGATTTTGTAATTTTCGTTTTTTGTTATTTTTATATGTTTTGGGCTTTGAGTTATATTTTTTGGGTTTTAAGTTTTCTCAAACTTATTTGTCTATATTTAGAGGTATAAAAAGTTGATCCAAATAGTTTTTTGAGTCATATTGTATTCATTTGCATTCTTTGAGAGCTTTGAGAGATGATTCTCCTAGTTATTGGATTATAACTTTGATTCTTATCACATATTAACATCTTAGTGGTGAAACTTCACTTGACATATCAATATGTTAAATTGTGGCGTTCCTATCCCTGTTTTATTCACATTTTTTTTTAATTTATTATTTATTTTTGTCACACTTTTTGAGAATTCAAATTCAGAAATTATACTTTTTTCTAGACATAATTGTATCATATTGAGTATTATAAACAATGTAACGTGAAAGACTAATTTTGCACTAACATATATAATAGTTTTTTTAGTTGAGACAAATAAAAATAAATTTTTAAGTGACCTTAAAGGATTTATGACTTTCCTTTATTGGAAACAAAAATCTTTTTGATAAACAACTTATATCTTCTGTTTTCATTATATGAATTAGTTTG